AGCGCTGCCGCTCGCGCCCCGGCTCTGTGCCTGCCGTGGTGTGCTTGACCCGCCTGGTGACCACCTGCCCAGCCTGTGCGACCTCCGGAGTCCTTGCCTGCCGCGCCATCCCGCTCGAGCGAGCCGTCGCTCGGGTCTGCCAAGAGGCCGGCGCCCGCAGCCGACATGAACCTCTCCACCCCAATGCCCGACGCGCACCGGCTAGACATCGTCTGCAACGGCATGCCTCTTTGGCATGGGGCTCAACTTGCATTCGACACCGCTTGCGTCACCTCAGTCACTCGCTCCGGCGAGCTGCGCCCAGGAGCCCTCCACCGGCTGGTCCAACTAAACTTCGGCAAACGGCGGAATTCAACATCCATTTTGTGCAAATGCTGTGTGTGCACTGCGCGATGTCCTGAAGCAAAGCATGCTACAGGCGATACCACTGCTTGGAAATACTCGAAACGATGAGCCAACGAGACGTCCTACTTTTTGCGATCAGTACAAGCGCGATCCCAGAGCACCTGCAGTCTAGGGGTGGCGGAAGCCGAGGTCCGCAGCGGGAGCCGGCTGGGGGCAGGGGCGAGCAGCCTGCGTTCGTCCTGCAGGACTTCATGCGCAGCCGGCTCGCCGGCAGCAGAAGCGACGGTATATGGGCCGCACGCAGAGCCGACCCAACGGCAGCGGTTGATTGGAGGTTGCCATGGCATTAAATTCTACATTCATGGAATGAGTGTGTTCGACACTTTTGTGAACGCTTTGGTATCGATCCATGGTCAACACAGTACTTGCGTCAATAGACCACTTGCCTCGTACATCGAGTTGCTACCAAGCCATCGATGGGTCCAAAAACGTAGTTTGAAATGGGATGGATCTCCCTAGCCGTGCAAAATCCGGCTTTCCTCGACGACCTCTATATCGTCACGGTGCCCGAGCGAGCTCGAGCGGCCTTCGACAGCACGACTGGAGCCGTCGCAGACCACTGCGGCATCGCATCCAACCTCGGCAAGACCCGCATTTATGCCACCGAGGCAGGGCCCCCACCCCCTGGCATATCGGAGCATGCGGTCTGGCGAGGCAACAAGCCGCCAGCCGAGAGAGGCGTTGTAGTCCTCGGCACGCCCATCGGGCATCCAGACTTCGTCAGCCAGTGGGCGGCGGAACGCATGTCGGAAGAACGCCGCTTCCTGCAACAGCTGCCCTTGCTTCCGGACCTGCAGTGCAGTTGGCTCCTGCTCTACATGTGCGCGGCCCCCCGGGCGAACCACGCGATTCGCACGCTGCCTCCATCCGAATCGGGAGGGTACGCGCAAGCGCACGATGCGGACATCTGGGAGATTCTGCGGTCCTGTATGGGCGGTTTCACAGAGGCTGACTCGCACAACGCATGGTCCATCGCCACTTTGCCTGCCGTGCATGGCGGACTGGGCTTGCAGTGCGCAGAGCGCGCAGCCCCCGCGGCGTACTGGGCGGCCTGGGCAGATGCGCTGCCTGTGATCCACGCTCGCGCGCCCGACATCGCACACAGATGCGTCGCAGCACTTGAGGGCCGCGGCGGAGAAGCTGCGTGCCTTCGCGAAGCGGCGGCGGCGCGGGTTCTTTTGCAGCAAGAAGGATGGCGCGACTGCCCTGCATGGAGCTCTCTCCTCGAAGGCACGCGCCCAACCCCGGCGGGAGACGCAGGCCCCGGGGACTGGCCACATGGCTGGCAGATGCATGCTTCGCGCACACGCAACACTCACTTTCGCGAGTGCGTGCTTCTGCCGGACATGTCGCCCGGTTCTCAGGTGCTTCTGCGGTCCCAGGCCGGGGCCCAGGCGGGCGCTTGGCTCGCTGCGATCCCAACTGAGCCGGCCACCACGCTACCACCTGCCGCGATGCAAATCGCATTGCGACGCAGGTTGCGGCAGCCGCTGCCCCTGCGAGGGAGCACCTGCGGCCCGGCGCAGCAGTCGATGCTTTAGGCGACCATGCGCTTGCCTGCCCTCCCACCGGCCTGCTGGCCAGACGAGCTAAGCTCGTGGAGAGAGCGTGGGTTCGTGTCGCGAGAGAGGCGCTGGGGGCTGAAGGGCAGGTCGTGCCACAGCAATGGCTGGCCCACACCACGGCGCCTGGCGTGCCAGCCGCAGACCGGCGCCGTCTCGACCTGGTTGTGTACGGCGCGACGTTTCAGGCGCGCGCTTTCGTACGAGACCTCGTCCGGTTGAAAGCTCACCGGGCCCCGCCCGCACTCCGTGCAGCGGCGTCAGCCGGCTGGGCGAGGCGCTGGTGGGGCTTGTTGTCCGTTGCGGTGCAGCAGGCTGTCGCAAGCACGGCACTGGGCGTTTGGGAGCAGCCACTGCAACCAGAAGCCTGTGAAGGCCCGCCGCTGGACACCCTGCTCCACCACGAAGCCCCCGCCCGCCAGAGTCGCCTGCCGTTGCGGCCCTGACGCGAGTAGCGTAGTCTGTAGCCTCCGGTAGACTAGTTAGCTGCGACCGCGGCTAGAAGCTTTTTCGTCGGGCAGCTCGAAAAGTCCGCTAAAAAAAAAATCCGGTCGGGCGAAAATGATGTGAGAAGAACAACCGGTTGCTTTTTGTAAAGAGCGAGCGCTGGGCCATTGGACCGAAGAAGCTGCACGATATTCGTGGCGAGACGATTTCTCTTACTTCGATGCTTTCTACCGGTTGTAAGAGGCATTGAGCGGCACAAATTGTGCATTATACATTTTTTTAAGAAAGGAACATACATGACCGTTGGTATGTACAGTAATTAGTCGTATATTTGATTTCCTGGGCCCTAAAGGGGTAGCCTTCGGGCATTCAGGTTTGACTTGACTTGACTTGACTTGCGCAGCGGCAAACTTGAGAAGGTCGGCGTACTCAGGATCGATGGTGCCGAGCCACTGGGCGTCAGCTCGACGCACAGGGGGCAAAAACAACCACAACATACTGTGTCCACTTTCCCCGTGTCTCTTCATCTTCACAGATGTGGAATATGCGGATCCGAGTTACACAGGCGTATCAACGCTAGCAGAGCTTGTCCTCCAATACCCCCCTTCCCCGCCCCACAAATTCATCGCGATATCGTGGTATATGGTGGTGGTGGGCTCAGTTGGCACTGCCATCAGCCTGGCAGCGCTGGGTCGCAGGGTTGGCAGCAGCACGCGTTCGCGCAAGTGAAGGTTGCCTTTGCCGCACCACCCCCTCGCTCCCTCCCCTCCATCTCCTTTCCCCCCTGCCTGCCCCCCCCCCCCCCATCTCGGCAACGAAACCTGTATCAAAAATGGGGGGCTTCCTGTTCCCCCCTGCCCCTGATCCCATACCCCCTCCTCCCCCTCCTCCTCAACTAAAATGAAGGGTCCCTCCCTGCCCTTCCCCCCTAACCCCGCCCCCCTCCCCTACCCCTCGGGCCAAAGGGGGAGGGGTGGCATGGGGTTATGGGGGTGGGGAGCAAAACCCTTATTTTTAACCAAAATACAAGCGAGTTCGCGACACGTGGAACTGCCAGCCGCACGTCCGGTCGCCGAGCACCCGCAAGCAGGTCGGGCCAGTTGGGGCAGGAGAGTGCCTGCTGTTGCCGCAGCCATCCTGGCATTTTTTTTTTGGATTCTCGAGCGGCACAATTTCGACCAGGCACACTAGAGAAATAGAATGCCACAAGCAGGAATTGCATCGGTTGGGTGTGTGCGCGGGGCTGTCCTCACAGCATGTGGTTGCTGCTTCCATGAGCTTGGTATTTACAGTTTTCGCATGGCAACTGATCCTGCAAGATTGGCTGGCTGCCGGTTAGTAAACGTGCAGAAACATATGAGCATCTGTTTTGTTGCATGGGTGGCAAGTTATGGTCCTTTGACCGAAACCGGAACCATGACCCGGTTTTCTCGCCATGTGTATTTGCATGTTGCAACGTTATAAAGTGAGAAGGACGAAGCTTTCTTTTTTCGGGAACGCGTTCTTCACATGTGGCTTGTTAGTGGTCATGTCGAGCGCGGGGGGCAAGGAACTTAGGATTTGCTGGAGATACAATGGGATTAACCAGCCGAGCAGGTGCACCTGGAACCGTGTTGTTGGCCTAAGGTGCTGCGAACACGTCAGTTTCGAGCTTGGGGGAGGCAGCGTGAAAAGAACAGCAGTGCGAAGTTCTGGAATGCCGGCATTACACAATACTACCGTATCCCACATCTGTTGTGCACTTCATTAGGTGGTCAATGGCACGGAACCTTCAGGCACACTCAGCCCATTTCTTTTGGCCGGTGCGAGGATGATTGGCGACAGCTTCCCCGCAAGGCAATGAGATCTTGCTCACGGATAACACCACCAGTACAATATCGGTGGCTGCGAATGATGTCCAAAGCAGTGCTCCAAGATTGTTGCTGTTGACTGCTCTTTGGGTTTGATTTTCGAAACCGCTGCAATGGGTTTGGTTGGGGCGAAGCAGCGATGCCATTCCGTGAGCTGTCAGCCTCCCTTGCTGACGTGTTTCGCTTCCATTTCACCTGCTGCTAGGGCAAGCCGGATTGGCAATGTAACCTGCCAAATCGGGCACCGCTTTTTATCACCTTTTACACCTGCGCTTGCTGCGTGGTATGTTGATTGATTCGGCTTCTGCACTGACAACAGACTCTTGCTCCAGGTGCCTCGACGACATCTTCGTTTCCACCGCCAAGTGCATCGACCAGTTCGACAAGAACTGTCACCAATCCTAGCGCGGTTCCAAATTCCAATTGTTGCAGGCAATCTCAATTCCTTCGGGCCGAGCGAGGGGCCATCATCATGCTGCAGGCACCGCCTCCACCACGTCCGCATTTCCTTTTGTGGTGAATGGCCATGCCAGCGACATCGGCGGCCTTAGCCCGAACTTCGTGCAGAAATGAAGATGTGTAACCTATGCATAGCTTTTGTGAGGCTTTGCCGGCCATGGTTCTGCTCGGCTACCCTTGCCTTCAGGCATGCTCGCTGACGTTATGCTGACGTTGCTGCGTAGCTCATGTTCGCAGCTTCTCAAAAACTTGGTCCCAGCATGCTGCCGCTGCAACCATGTTTTGCGGGGTCCCTGGTTGCCTCGAGCCTCAGCCGACAGGAAATGTGAGAACTACGGGCAGACCATCTCGACACATCGAAAACAAGGACTTTCTTGTCGCGCGGAGCTCGGTCTGGAACCAGTGCCTTGGGGCACCACGCACGACAGAGCAAAGCACCACTGGCGAAGGCAGCGTTGACTGTTGGGTTTGTGCTTCTGCTTCTCTTCGTGTTCTTCAAGCTTTGGAGGCGTTGGTGCAGACCCCGGAATGTCCGTAGGCTCGTGCAACACCTGCCAGGCGGCATGCCGCGCGAGAGCTGGCTCCCGGCGACATGCAGTTGTGTTGCCGACGGGATTGTGAATTCTGAGGCATGACTAATACTGATAATCGGGGCCAACCTGCAGGTCCAGCCTTTCTGAGTGGATGGGTGCAGATGAGGACGACGACGTCGTCATCGCCCCGCCCTTAGGCTGACTGAGAGATGCAAGTCGAGGGTAGTTGAACTCGTCTTCAAAAGGTTTGCACAAGGGCAGACACGCGTGGCTTGTTGCTGCAGCCGCTGTAGCCTTGCTCAAGACCGGCAGGCAGCTACAAGTAGCAAAGCAAAGCAAGACATGTGACAGAGCGCCGGGGTCAACAGTCAGCTGTCGCCGGCATCAGGTGTCAAGCGTTGTCAGCACTCCATGCAGCATCCGTTGGCTAGCAGAGGGCCGCGGAAGAGATGTGAAAGCGTCTTTGGCTTGCATGTCTGTGGATGCTGAACGCGCAGATGACATTGCGTGTCCTGGCACAGCATTGTGAGTTTTCACTGCCTGCTTGTGGCTGTGCTGTCCACTGCCAAGAATCCGTTTTCTGGAGTAAGGCCTAGGCATGTCCTGTGCGTGGTAGATCAGCAATGCTTCTGGAGCCCGCTCGTGTTGTCCTGCATGCGGCTCCGCTGCCCCGTCCCAAACCCCCTTTTGAAGCCGAGATGGGGGGTTTGGAAGGGGCCATCTTGCAGGGGGGTACCTTCAGGTGACACAGGCTCACGCGATCTCACGCGCCATGACGTGCTTTCCCCACTTTGGGCAGGGGCTTCTGTGTGATGCGTCTTATTCTCATGTGGGGCTTGTTGATCGTAGGCCAGATACTCCGTGATGTTCCCAGCTATCGCTCATGATGGTCGAGGTAATCGTCTAGAGTATAGCTGCAATGAAAGTCGCAAACATCCTTTTCTGCCTAGTTCGTTGGCAGTTGAACCTGTAGGAACATGAACATAACATGTCCATGTTCTGCTGGTGCTTGAAGTAGCACCTTTGTTTGCGCATGCATGTTTCGAACCTCCAGTTTGGGCGACTTCAACCAACTTTGGCTCAAGTGTGCGAAAAGGATCCGAAAGCTGTGGTCCCGAGGGTTTTGGTCACTGTAGGGTTTGGGTTGAACGACGACGGACGACAACACAGAAGCCTGCGGCTTCAGCTGTCGAAGGGCTGTGTGGCCCGAGAGGGCCATCCCACAATCCTTGCAAGCCTCACGGTATACCAACATAATTCTCCCAACCCTTAGGAATCTCAATCCATAAAGGTGCGTGTCCTACTCCCGATTGCAAGGCATCAACCAGGGTCTTAGGTTTAGGCTTTAGTTCTGGCCACCGCGTGGCGGCTCGACTGGAGCACTTGGGCACAACAGGGGCTAAGTTCGGGTTCTTAGGATTTGCGGGTAGGAAGGGGCTTGGCGGTTGCCTGGCCAGTGATCGACGGTTCTTTACTGCCGCGAATCTTTGCAGACAGTGAGTGTGATCATGCGGTGCGATGTGGACGATGAGGCCACCGACCAACTTCATACTCCTCGTAGGGCGCAGCGTGCTCTAACGAACATGCCTGATCATTTCAGTCCTGTGACAGATACCACGAGTCCAGATCAGAATGCAAGGGCATTGACATCGATAGCCGGCGCTCGTAACCAACAGGTTATGAGCCCAAGCGGCTCCGCCCAACCAAGCGTGCCTCCGTTTCCCACGGCAGCAGGGCCGTCATCACCGTTCGGAGGCATTCAGTTCATGCAAGCAACTCGGCTGGAGATCCCGACGTCGATCCTTCAGCAGTTTGCACAGGCAGCTTCGCTGGATGCTTCTATGCTCCACGACTTGAGAGCAGCCGTCGTTGAACTGAACGATCGCATGCAGTATAGATCCAACGTTCTGGGGGATGCATGCGTAACACTCCACTCGGGATACAATGCCTTAGTGGACAACCTGGACAGGCTTCAACAGGGAATGGATGCCCACAGTCGTACTTTGGCCTGTCTTATGAATGAAAACCTGTCTCTGAAGCAAGAGATAGAGTCCACACGTGAACAGCTCAGCGCAGATGTGCGGCAGCAGTTCGCAATTACTCGCGAGCAGCTGAGCGCGGTCCAGGCGAGAGCTGAAGCTGCAGCGATGGGCCCGCAACAATGGCAAGCCCAGGTTGAGGCTCACATAGTGGCAATCCAAAACAATCTCGAGGCTGGATTCCGGAAGGCCAGCTCAGAGAATGAGGTTTTGCGGTCTCGTGTTGATGAGCTTGAAAAGGCGAATCAGGTGCGAGAGCGCAAGTGGCATAACTTCCAGCAGGATCATAGTACTCCAGCTGAGTCTTCCGTCAGTGGATTGGCTGAGGTACGCACCCAGGTCGATGGACTGTGTGCTACTATGTCGGGTCAGGGGCAGCGTCTTGATGCGATTTCCCGGGACGTTGCAGATCTGCATGCCTCAGTGTCGTTAGTGGAGTCGTCAGTGTCTCAATTGGAGGGTCATAGTGCCACGATCCGAGAAGAGATCAAGGGTTTGCATCAGATGTGCGAGCATTTTGCTGTATACACTGATGATGAGCCTGTTGTTGGCGAACCTGGTATGGCAGATTACGAAGCAGAATGGTGGGATGGCCATGAGCACGCCGGCGAAATGCCTCAAGGTCATGTCGGCCCACCGCCGGGTTTCCCAGATCAGCCGACGTCTGCACCTCCGCAGGCGCAACCCTCATCGTCTCCTTTACTAGGAGGTGATGATCCGGGGTGCCACATAGGCGCTCAAACGCAGCATGTACCACAGCCGGCGCAAGCCACACCGGTGCCGGAGACCAGTGGAAGCAACGTCGGCATCCATCATGGACGGTGGAAGCTGTTGCAAGATGTACCTGCTTTGAAGCTGGGAGCTGGAGAGCCTTGGGAACAGGGCATGAAGCTTCGGACTTGGTTTAAGCAGGTTGAAACGATCGCAGGGACAATAGCTGATTCATTCGGGTCCTACGTCAGACAGCAGTTCAAGTGGGCAGATGATCGGCATAAGCAGCGTTTGGCAGGTTTGCATCAGTTGTCACCGCCACCGCGGGTTCTACCGGAGGACTCGGAGAACGAAAACAGGCTGGTGTTGCTGTTGATACGGTGCGTCCCTGCTGAGCTCAAGCAGAACGTCCTTGAAAGGGGCGATGAATCCGAGCCCATGCGGGCAATTGCACTTCTGGAAGGGGTGTTGGAAACATTGCAACCGGGGGGCGCAGCGGAAATGCAATCTTTACAAGCCTTCGTTAGGAACCTGAAACCTGTGAACTCGGCTAAAGAGGGGCTGAGTGTGCTCCGACGTTGGCGATTGGCTAGATCCAGGGCTATGGCTTTGGCACTTCCACAGGTGGCTCCCTTCGAGGAGCTCGGAGCGCTGGGTACTTTGGCTTTGAATCTGGAGAAGCGCCATGATAGATTGCGTACCATGCTTAGTTTGCTGCGAACCCGACCAGAACTCATTAGACCTACATCGGAGGGAGTTGATATGATGATCAATCTTCTAGATCAGCAGTTCCAGTTGTTGCATGCGGATGAGCAAGTGAAAGTGGGCCGCGGTCGCGGTCAAGACGATGATCTGGACCCTACGGCCAAGAAAGGCAAGGGCAAGGACGGCAAGGGAAAAGGCGGCAAGGGCACGGGAAAGGATTCGGCTCCCAAAGGGGGCAAGCAAGAGTGCATGGCTTGGAAGAATACGGGGAAATGTAGATTTGGCGACCGGTGCCGATTCACACATGCGAATCCACCTGCTCCCGGAGGCGCTCCACCGCCTAAGGCTAGTCCTACTCCGAAGCCTAAAGCAGCTCCAGCCGCAACCTCACAGCAGCAGGAATGCCTTGCTTGGAAGAAGAATGGTAAGTGTAGGTTCGGTGATAAGTGTAAGTACTCACATGATGGGGAAGCTAAGCAAGCCGCTTCAAAGCCTCAGGATGTCAAGACTTCTGCTTCGGGTGCATCTGAATCTTTAGTAGGAGCGACGGCCAAGGCATCAGCGTGCATTGTTCATCAGTCGCAAGCGATGAAGCTTCTCAGTGGACTCGAGGAACCGGGCCCTGAGCCATCTCCACCTAGTGACAGCGAGGATCCTTCTGAGCCATCCGTGACAAGCTCAGGCGAGGAGGAGTCAGCGGAATCAATTCCGGATGCTGGTGGACCTATGTGGGTCCTTGACCTAAGCCTTCGTGACTACATACATTGGACGAGACCGGCGCAGATTCAGGTTTGCGCAGATCGGGATTTTCGTGAGGAGGAGAATCCTAATTCAATCGTGTGGGCAGTTTGGGATGTGATCATACATGAGATGCTGGATGTAGATGAGTCTGGAACAATTCCGATCGCAGAGGGCGTGTGCATGATCAAGTGTGACACCACTGTTGTCTTCTGCGAAGATGGGGTTGGTAGGCCGTGCTTTGTGGTTTGGATTCAGGAGGAGAGTACAGGGAGAGAACGACAGTTTGCATTGGCACAGTTTCAATACAGACCTCGTGTTCGTCGTTGGCCCGCAGTTCCAGACCCTAAGGCACCAGAATTACCATATGTACCCAGCAAGGCCGCGCCCGCAAAAGCACCTGCGGCCAGCTCGTCAACGTCTGCATTCTTGGCGCCAGGTGCCCCACCGGCTAAGGCTCCAACCGTAAGTCCACCGCCGCAACTTGCGGCACCGGAACTCGAGGACAGCCCCAGCTCAACATCTGCACATGCAGCCCAGGCAAGCAGCACAGGAATCTGTGACGAGGACAGATGTGTTTTAGCAGACACAGGGGCAAATGAGTTGATCAGACCGGCGGGATCACAGCCACCCACGAGATCTACCAAGGTCCATCTCACATTAGCCGATGGTAATACTACCTTTGCTTGGCGGACCCGTGATGGGGAGCTCGCTATGCCGGGGGATGAGAGTTCATGGATTGCACCTGTGGGAAAGATTGTAGAGCTGGGATATAGGTTTATCTGGGATCTTGAGTCGGGTGCTAGGCTTGTTAAGGAGACTGAAGCCGGTTGCGAGACGATTCATATGTTTGTTGAAAACGGGTTGCCCTACATCTACTGGTCTGACTTTGTTCATCTTCGCAAACAACTTTCAGCGGCTTTCCGAAACAACAAGAGGAGTTGCTGTGCGATC